ATGTCATATATATAGCGGCATTTTTGGAACAAACGCCACAAAATGTCAGATCTATAGCGGCATTTTTTGGAACAAACGCCGTAAAATGTCAGATCTATAACGGCGTTTTTTTAAATAAACGCCGCTAATTACCTTTCTTTAGCTAAGATTAGTTGATTTTGCATATTTTATTTCTGCTCTACATCACCTAAATTTAATATCATGTAGATTTATCTAATTAACAACACAAGTTATGCAGAAAAATACTTAACAAAATAAATTAAAATTTATAAACATTAAAATTAAATGTAATGTAGTTTGACATTGTTCTCAAGAATTTAGTCTAGGTTCTTTCACCTTCAATTAAAAAAATATTGTTTACTAGTATTTAGTCTTCATTGCTCCTTCTGGAGTTTTGATAATTTGAATGAATCTCTTGCTTATCTGTTCTATTGGATCAATTCCAGCAACTCTTCCTGCAGTGACAGCATTGGCATTATGTTGCACAAAATTTTCCTTTTGGAAGGTATTCTGGCAATATCTACAATGCCAAGTACCAGTTGGAACGCGTGGTAGGGATATACACTCTGCAGCCATTAAAAAGAGCATGAGCCCAACACGAATCCGTACTGATTACAAACTAACAACTAAAATGACATTTGCGTGGTAGGGATATTTCACAATCTGTTTGTATGGAGAAAGCAAGAAAACTGCATTTCCCAAAATTCCATTGGTTCAAAATACGTGTAATGAAAAATGTTACAAAATGCACAAATCATTCTAAATGACCAAAAGCACAAGGAGATCATAACTATGTAAAAATAAGTCCCAAAAAGGGTACAAGATAGTAACTAACTCTCAACTCTCCAAATTAAGTTCAGTCGTAAGTCAAAGAGATAGGGTAAAGGGGAAAGGAGGAAAAAACACTCCTGAAACCAAAAGCAAGTTATGTTCACACATAAATCACTCCATAGAATTATTGCATCCACAAATAATCAGTTTCACTTTGCAATAAAAAAAAATATCATTAAACACATAGGTAATAAAACAACTGGAAAATGACATTAGAAAACTATTTTGCCTTCACCAGAGCCTTCAGTTAAGAAATGCATTATGGCCAACCAAGAGCAAAAGGCAAAAGTCTCAATTTGAGGCAAAAGATTCTATGTAAGACTAGTTACAATTTCACAAAATTTAGAAGTTCATGAGGGGAAAAACCAAATAAGTTTAGAATTTAGAATATGGTTTGCCATTCCCTAAAAAACAGAGACAACATTGGAAGTCAATTAGGTGAGAGTTACTTTCTTTACGGCCATTGCTTAAATGCATCCAACACATTAATTATTATACAAACAAGTGAATCCTGAAAAGCTACCGATGAAGAGAAAACCCAAGAATAAAGTTGAAAACTAACATGCGTGAAAAGCCCTCGGACATGTATCAATTATTATACCTCATTTGATGTGTAAATGTTTTGAAAACTGTAAACAAAGGAAATGTCAAAATAACACTTATGTTCATAGATACATACACTAAATGCACCAAGTCATTATTATAAGTCATTATTATAACAATTACAAGATAAAAAAAGACCAAAAACAACAAGGTTTTGACAACTAAGACTGAGCAGAAACTTACGGCTTGCGACGACTAGAAAAACCAGCATGAGCTTCAAACTGTGAGGGGCTTATCTGTGCTCTTATAAAACAACAAAAACAAAAAATTCGAGAATTTATGATGCAACAAAGTCATTGGGAAAACGAAGAGAAAATGGTACCTCTGAATTGTTGCAGGTGCACAATATTCCAAATCCCCTTTTATAACCAACAAGCCTTTTCTGTAACACATCAAATAACCACTTAGTGGGCATAGTTGAAATAGATAAATCTTACGTTTAAGCATATTCACACAAACCTGTCTGCAAACAGAATATCCTAATTCAGTCCCGTCTGGCAACCCATCTTCCTCAAATACCAATTTATGCATCCTCATATCCCTTCAAAAGCAGTATGAAGGATATTAATTCATATACAGTATCAACAAAAAGATAATGCCAAACGTGACCACCTCAACTATAATCAGTAGAGTGAATATCAAATGTGTAAACACAATACAAAAACTCAAAACTAAACTTACTTTCTAGTTACTCTACCCTGACTCTTAGCTTGTGATGAATTGCATTTTAAAGCACTCATTGGAGACTTTGGAAACACAGTTAGCTTGGGTGATCTGAAGTAAACCCAAAAAGAAAACAAAAATAAAATAAGAGGGTGAATGAGTTAAACTTCAACAGAAATATCTTATCTTTAATCATACAGATAAGAGAAAAATGATACTAACAAGCAAGTAAATGCAATGTGGAGACTATCTCTTTGCATTTAAATCTAAAAGCTAGCATGCAAATTTCATAAGCAACAAATATAACTTCCAATCCACATTCATACAAATTTTCTACTCTTTTATCAAGAACAATCATAAACCCCCTCAATACTAATAAATTTGATGAAAATTTGCATCTGCATTGCAAAAACACAAGATGCAAGAGCCCTTGATTATTCCCCGAAGGCCATTACTCCCTGAAGCTCTTGTAATGAAAACATTACTACAAAAACAACTCGAAAGGGTTCAATGCCCATACAATTATGTATGAAAAAAATGAAATACTAGTGCTTTTCGCAGAACGAAAACCCAGTGCTCTGACAGTGAAAAAATCCTTGAAAATCAAATTTTACCCAAAAATGAGAATCACTAAAGAAATTTGAAAAATTATTTTTTGGGGTTAGAAGAAGACGACGACGTTAGGGCTTAGTTGAGGTTTTAGAAAGTAAAAAATTAAATGAGCAAAGAAGACGATAGAATATAATAGAATAGATATTTCGATTCTGCTTTCTCAAGCACCATAAAATCTTCAAGTAAAATAAACTAAATAGGGTTTTAGAAGGCAAGCTTTTCAAAAACAAAAACCTGAAGAGCAAAGAGCACCATTGGTTCAACATCTTGGTGTTGGTGCGTGGAGCGATGGTAATATGCTCGGCCTCTTGCTCACAATCAGTCAACTTGAAATCCAATGAGTTTTCCGAATTCGCTGGACCCGTCTCATCTCTAACCAATACAACTTGCAAATTTGGCACAAGACCTACTTCTCTCCCAAAGACAAAATGTCAGCAGATAGTAACATAAAACAAAAAAAAAACCATAAAAAAGGAAGTAAAAATTATAATCATTAGAAAAAGGAGAAACCCTAGAAATAACAAGAACAAAAACATTGAACGAACCGATCGATTTTCCTCCAAAGCTTAAACTAAACATATCGAACCCACATGAAATCAAATAAACTAAGAACGCAATTAGGGCCACGAAATGATTTAAAAAGAGTGCAAGAAAAGGAAAGGCATAAACCTAAGTTTTCTAGAGTAAAAAAGAAACATAGAGAAAGTTCGAGCAAGAGAATGAAAAAAATAGGTGAAGTGGGAAAAATAGGTGAAATGAGAAAAATGAAATAGGGTTAAAGGGGTGTGGGATTTAAAAATTGTAAATTTGCGGCGTTTGTAAACAAAAACGCCACTAAAGTACGAGTCTATAGCGGTATTTTTTACAAAAATGCCATTAAAGTTATGAGTCTTTAACGGCGTCTGTATACAAACGCCACTAAAGTACGAGTCTATAGCGGCGTTTGTTCTAAAAAACGCCACTAAAGTACTAGTCTATAGCGGCGTTTGTATAAAAAACGCCACTAAAGTACAGTCTTTGGCGGTGTTTGTATAAAAACGCCACTAAAGTACTAGTCTATAGCAGCGTTTATTCTAAAAACTCCACTAAAGTACGAGTATATAGCGGCGTTTGTATAAGAACGCCACTAAAGTACTAGTCTTTAGCAGCGTTTGTTCTAATAACGTCACTAAAGTACATTCTTTAGCGGTGTTTGCATAAAAACGACACTAAAGTATAGTCTTTAGCGGCGTTTTTACAAAAACGCAACTAAAGTTTAAGTGTTTTGTGGCGTTTGTTCTAAAAACGCCGCTATAAACACATTTTGCTATAATGATAACTTTGTGAATACTGTTCCATGCATGAAAATATTTCTCCTAACTTTGCGTTTAAAATGCTACATCAAAAATATTTAGAATAGATGATTAAATGGTTGTCCCTTTTTCCCATATGTATGGGGTAAGGGGGAGGTAAGATAGTAGGCTACCCCCAACACCAAGTTGAGAGCAGCTTCCGTAAGAGACCTCTGAATTATGAAATGTCCTCCGTGAGACTCGATCCCACGACCTCAAGATTAAGAACCTTGTGCTCTACCAACTGAGCTGGATGGTCATTTCTTAGAATAGATGATTAAATGCTCTCAATTAATATTTATTTTCTTCTTTAGGTTGTGAGTTTAATACTGGATAGGAGTAAAATTTTCCTTCCCTCTTCCTTAAAGGGGAACTATTAAAAAAAAAGCTACATTAAGATAAATTTATCCTTAATAAATTTGATTTGGCACATGTGTTCTTTATAAAATCCTTAACTATTTTAATATATTTTTTATACAACATATGTGATATAAGACAGCCATGAACTTATTTGTGCAAACGATTTTCCAATTTTTACGTTTTCTTCTCTCTATAAAAAAATCGTCAAATTTGAATCTAAAATAGAAATCAAAGTTAAACCAACCACTTTACGAATAACAACCCCCAAATTCACGTCATTGGCGGGCGATTGACTCGGAATCCCATGGACCTATACCATTTTTGTGCCCAACAATATCGCCATTTCTATAGTTGCCATGTACCCCTAAATTTGTCGTCTGTCATTTAGTAATAATTGATGTTTAAGAAAAGCAAAAGGTACGATCAAAGGGCTTTGGAGTTGGAGTTGGCGTTCGTCCCTTGCTCCAACCATTTGAGTGTATGAATTCAATACAATTTCAATCATTTGCATCTCGTCTCCGAGCCCTTCGCTTCTTCTTCTGATATTTTTTCTATTTACTTGGAATTTTGCTTTAGCTTTTTGGCTCTTTTGTCAGCTTGATTTACTGTATTCATATTTCGGGACGAAGATGGAGAGACGGAAGAGGGAGGGAACCAACACAATGTTCGAAGAGTCCGATAGTATTGGTGGTAAGTCCCAGTTCGGGGACATGAAGGATTCGGACCCCAGCATGGCCGTCACTGCTCCTATGACTGCATCAGACGATTCGTTGCTTGCTTACAGCAATACATCGTCTAATTGTCCTCCCTTTATCGAATCCAACCGATTGAGTTGCGATTCTTCGCCCTTAACCATGTCACCATGGAACCACACCGCACCTACTGACAAACCTTCATGGGACCCTTTCGATGGCAATGGTCAGGTTCCGGCTAATAGTCTCATTGGCTCTCTTATGCGTGAAGAGGGACATATATATTCCTTGGCAGCCAGGGATGAGCTCCTTTACACCGGCTCCGATAGCAAGAACATTCGAGTGTGGAAGAATCTTAAGGAATTCTCCGGCTTCAAATCCAACAGTGGATTGGTTAAGGCCATTGTGATCTCAGGTGAAAAGATTTTCACTGGCCATCAAGATGGGAAGATTCGTGTTTGGAAGGTCTCGATTAAGAACCCTTCCATTCATAAACGAGCTGGAACATTGCCAACGCTGAAAGATATCCTCAAAAGTTCTTTTAAACCGAGCAATTACATCGAAGTGAGAAGCAAACGAGCGCTATGGATAAAACACTCGGACGCAGTGTCCTGTTTGAGCTTGAACGAGGAACAAGGATTTCTTTATTCGGCCTCATGGGACCGAACCTTTAAGGTTTGGAGAATTTCAGATTCTAAATGCCTCGAATCGGTTAATGCACACAATGACGCCGTTAACTCGGTAATTGCTAGCTCGGGTGAAATGCTTTTCACCGGTTCGGCGGACGGGACGGTTAAATTGTGGAAAAGGGAACTGCTTCGGAAAGGAACGAAGCATACCCTGGCTCAAACGATTATACAACAAGAATGTGCGGTAACAGCATTAGCAATCATCACCTCTGCAAGTCCAGCATTGTACTGTGGCTCCAGCGATGGCGTGATCACGTACCGGGATAATATGAAGGAATTCTCCCAGGGAGGGGAACTTAAAGGGCACAAGCTGGCGGTTCTATGTCTTGAAGCAGCCGGAAACTTGTTGATTAGTGGTTCAGCCGATAAGACTATATGTATTTGGCGTAGGGATGGTAAGGTACACACAAGCCTTGCGGTGCTAACAGGGCATACAGGGCCAGTGAAGTGCTTAGCAGTGGAAAAGGATCACGAATCGAAAAAGGAGGAGCGATGGATCGTGTACAGCGGGAGCCTCGATAAGTCAGTGAAGGTATGGAGAGTTTCGGAGTATCCGCAGGTGATGCCGATGCAGGCTAAACATCAGCACCAGGGGAATTATGAATCAGAGTCATTCCAACAGGATGCGAGGACTAAGTCCACCAGCATATACAGCAGGAGTGAGACGTACTGACATTGAATATAAGTTTTGGCTTTCGGGATTTGCCTTAAAACAGAGAGGGATTAAATTTGTTTTGAGAAATTTTCTTTGGCTATATATTGTAAAGATTGTTATTGATTTGATGAATTAACTACTAATAATAAATTTTGATTCATACAATTTTATTGGCTTCGAAGCTTTTAAACTTTACTTTAAAAATCTAACTATATTTCAGATTGAGAATGTTGGTATACTATATTTCAACATACGACACTGAGATATGTAAAAAAGTAACACGACTGTAATGCGCAACAGTAACACGACTGTAATGATCAGCGAACTATAACCTCGTCTTTGTCTATCACTACAACTATTTTTACAAGTAGAGAATATTTTCTATTGTATGTTCACCTTGTTGTTTTACACTATTCAAATAAGAGATTCACAATGAAGAATTGTTGAAAATTTTAAATAATGAAATGGTGAATATCTTTCATTGGTGCATAATATTCTCGTTTGAGAATCAAGAAAATATTAATATATAATAATCTTGTCTTGTGAATTAAGGTAATAATTACTTAAAGTGATGCATGAATTAAACTATTTAATTTAATCATTTTTAATTTTAAATAAAATTTTAAAATATATGATCTTATTTGTGGAAGAAAAATTATATCTTTGTATTGGGCTAAAATAGTTGTAGGCTATAAGAGATCAATTAATTCGAATATTTCAAATCACACACTCTCATCAAGTTTAAACTTACACAGATTCGCACTAGGGATGGTAAACGGATACATTTTCGTGGATTCTGCACCGTATCCACTCCAATTGGAGCTGGCATGGGTATAATTTTAGCGGATAGTGGGCGGGTGTGGATTTATAAAGTGGCACCCGTCGTGGGTGGTGGGCGGGTAATGGGTTTGAGACATTACCCGCCCCGTATCAGCCCGCCCCGCATCCGCCCGCCCAACTAAATATCTATTAAATTTTGGATCATTATGAATTTAGGTGTAATTTTAGGGACTAATTAAAAATTTTAATATTGTATAATATATAACATATAATTTAACCAAATATTAAGGATATTTAGTCTTTAATTAGGGAAATATTCGACCCTTTGATTAAACTCATAATCCCACTAACCACGTCACTTTCCATGTTCTTTAGCCCATGTTGCTCATTCAAACACAAATTAGCCGTACTATATGCATTAACATCAAAAGCAACAGTTTCCATGTTCTTTAGCCCCTCAAAACCCATATTAGGCGCACTATGAGCATTAACATCGAAAGCAACTCAACAATCCAGCTCTGCGACTACATGCTCCCTACAATCTGTCTCCAAAACATTCGTAGAGCCACTCCTCTGACAAATTGAAGCATGCATTGCTACCCTATCACGAACTGTCTAGGAACCAACTCCAACATCCCATTAGTTTGCTGCTAGGCGGGTCTAGATGGGTACGTCGCTAGTGGGTAGTGGGTGCGGGGATGGATTTGAAAATGTACCCGCGTGGGCGGGTGTGGATTTGAAAATTTGTACCCATCATGGGTGGTGGACGGGTGGTGGATTGAAAAATATTAGGTGGGTATGAGGATGGGGGATGGGATACCTGCACCTGACCCGCCCGTTTGTCATCCCTAATTCGCACCACTTACGGGCAAGGAAGAATCTTATCTTGCACATTCTATAACTTTCAAGTTAGTTCAATGTTGTATAGTTGTAGGCTTCTCATTAGTTTATTTTGACCATTAAATTCTCATTTATAACTCAGTCAATTTAAGCATACGATATATCGTTATAAAATTCTCATGAATAGAATATAAAACTATAATTTTTATGATTTTGCTCTTCACCTTTATCTATTAAAAATATACCTAAAATTCCCAAGAATCCATTTTTCAACAAAATAAAAGTATAAATTATGGGACTCTATGAGATTCCAATTATACCTATCAAGTTCCACTAGCTTATTGAGATAGATAATCATTTTATTCAATCTTCTTCTATTCAGCAGGTTCATATCGTCAATTTAACAAATATTTTTATATTTATTACATGTTTACATATTGCAAACATCATTATGGCATTTCATATATCCCCGAAAGCATTAGATTGTTTTTCTCAGCAATGTTATTTATTCATACTTAAACCTACGTTGAGTGGCTCGTTAAAAATCTTTGTAAACTTATTTAGTGGAAAAAGTACACGACTAGATGGATAATATAACAAAGTGAAACACTCTAAACTCGAACAACACGCCAAAAAAATAAAACCAAACACACCAAAGCAATAACCAAATACTCAAAACCAAGAAATACAATACACAGGCGAAGAAAACCTTATAATTACAAAACCACAAAACTTACCACCAAGCTTTAAACAAATCAGACCTCAATAGTTCAGCTTTTGCTAAGTGATTGACCATACTATTTTGAGTTCTCGAAACATAAGAAAACTACAACGAAGAAATTTCTCGAGACAACCTATCAACCTCGTCAAAAATGTTCCACCATCTCCACGGCCTCATTAAGGGAAAGACAATCCACTACTTGACAACCTGACTCTACTGTTAAGGACGTTTTCCCTACCTAGTCCGCCTCTTTGAATGCAAGCAAGGTAGTCTTGATAGCGAGGAGTTCTGCATACTGGGGTCTAAGATCAACAATTGGACCCGAAAATAATGCTCTAACATCATCCGAAGTTATTCTCAACACCCTATCCCACCTTGCTGCTCCTTGTTTTGCTGCCCCGTCCACATAAAACTTGACTAAGCCCACTGTAGGAGAACACCATTCCAAAGCAGCCTTATCATAACATTTTAGATTTTTTAATATTTTATATATTTATAATTTTAATATTTTAAAATAAAATTATAATATTTTTATATATATTTAATAAATTTCTTTTCAGTTAATTATTTTAAAAATAATTTAATTTTTAGTAATTTTTAATTATATATTTTTTGAAATTTACATTGTTTAATATTTTAAATTTTTAATATAAAAAATTAAAAATACCAGTGGCATCACCTGTCGCGACACATGAATTCTAAAGAAAATCTTTAAATATAACAATCCATATTTGTTAAGATTCCACAGCCCGATCGAGAACATTTTTCTTAAAAAACCTTTTCTTGCCCTGGACCTAAATTTGAGGCTCAACTTCGCTAAAAATATCTAAAATGTTCTAGATCTACGATAGTCATTTCAGAAACTATCTCTCAGATCATCAAGATTTAATCGGCCGATCAAGTACCTTAAGAAATATGTATTATGTCACACCCCGATTCAAGGTAAGAAGTTTGAGAAACAATTTGTAATAGTTTAACTGAAATTGAAACTTTAATGGAATAAATTGAAAGAATTTTAAATTTCACATGTTGTAAAATGAATAAATAAAAATTTCCGAATTTGAGAACTCCAAGAAGCTCGAGGCTTAACTCCATGACTTACCCTTTAAAACATCATGGTTCCCTCCTTAACTCACGGCGTATTTACACAAAAATACCCAAACAACCAATAATTTCCTGTCAGGCACCCATTGATTCAATTTGACTGATCTAACACCTATTTGCTGACATGGACAGAAGGCGCCGATCATCAAATGCGCCTTCCCTGAGTTTTCGTCCGAGCTGACACCACGCGGGTAAAACATGGATCACCATCCTCGTCTTCGTGGGAAACCTGACACACGACGAAAGGCGCGGATCACCATTCGCGTCTTCCATGAATACCCCCAACCGTTCATCGCTCTCCCTTAATGAGCACCTACTCCTCCCCTATAAATACCCCTCGTACAACTCTCAAACCACACAAAAAAAAACACTCTCATTCTTCCTTTTATCATTCCTTCTAAAAAGCTTCAAGTGAGTTCTGTTATTGTTTTTAGAATATAATTTTTTATTTTATTATAATCATTAAATAATTTATTATTTTATTATATTTTAATGTACTATTTTTTATGTTTTACGATTATAAAATGGAAGGCGGGTTACTGGGTTTAGATATGAATCATATCTCGAGTCATTTTGCCGATACGATAACAAATTTAGATTGTGTTATGTTAATTATGATGAATGTTTTATTTATTTATTTATTTATTTAGTATTATTTTATATTTTAATTGTATACTATTTGTCGAGACGTTTCTCTGCCCGGTGACGGAGAGTGCAAATAGTACACCTTAAAGTGTGTAATTAGACTCGAAAAAGTAAGTGTTTATCTTCCTTGAATCAGATGAAACACCAAATTGTAGAGTCGCCACCAATCTTTTAATTTGGTGAGATTAGTCACCAAAATGTCATATTATTCTAATAAAATTCCTAAGAATAATATTAACATAATACAACTCGGGTCTGCTTACCAGAAAAATGAGTTCGGGAGCCGGTTACGTATGAGGAAGGATTAGCACCCCAATAATACCCAAAATTGGTACTAGTATTTATTAATTAGTGTCTTTGCAATAAATGATAAACTTTTAAAATTAAATGTAATAACTTATTATAAAAAATTACTAAATATCTAATATAAATATTATTAATCTTATTATAAAATATTAACTATATAGATTAAATTATAAATTACGTAAAATAATAATTCTAAAGTATAAATATTAATAATAATCAATTAATGATTAAAACATAAAATGATAAAATTAATTAACCTAGTCAAAAATAATACTAAACTAATGTACTAATTATGTAATTTACCATAATTTACTAATACGAGACTAAAATGGAATTTAATAATATTTAAGGGACTAAACATGTCATTTATTCTAAATATACGTGTATATATATTTAATGACTAAAATTAAAATAGTTAAAATATGAAAACAAAATTAAAAGGTACGAAAAACCTAATTTCGGGACCAAAATGAAAGGTTTACAAATCTGGAGTGGCTACGGATATAGTTTACCCACGCATAAATTACAAAGATACCCTCCCAAAACGATATCGTTCGGGAGAGGGTATAAATGCCCAATATTTGGCCCAAAAGGGCTTCACCTCTATCATTTTCTCTTCTTCTTC